ACTTCATTATATCTCATTTTTTTTACAGAATATCTGAGAAACTAAAATTTCGCAATCTCAGTTGCATTGCGGGCTTTTGAGAAAGAAGTGGGCTCGTTTCTTTAAGGACTCTAAGTGGTATACGTCAAAGTATTGATAATGCAGACCGCACAACAATTAAGCAGGTCAGGCAAAAAGTGCATGACTCAGAGCTCACGTGCGCGCTTATCAAACGCGCGCTAGTGTAGCGTTACCTGCGCGTGCGCCGGCCGTGACTCAGCTCACAGCGCATCCTGTTCTACCTTCGTGCTACTTTCACATACACACATGCTTACATGCTTAAGCACACGTACGGACGCACAAGCCATATTAAAAAATAATCATGAGGTAGGGTAAGGTTATTGGGACAAATATTATTTCCATCGAAGTTGCAATAAATAATAGGATTTAAACGATTTTTTTTTCAATATAATAATTAATGCCCTGGTGTAAAAGGTAAATTAGATCAAGAGAATCTTGTCTATACACTAAATAGATTATCCGGGAAACGTTCGCAAAAACACTTATTACTGGTTGTGAAAAAAAAACTAGATAGTAATTGGCATTCAGTACCATTATCTCATACCTCATATGGTAGCCTATGTGTTATTCCAACCTATGTTCTACATGTACGCCAAATTTCATCGCGATCCGTTCAAAAGATACCTTCTAACAAACATCTATTTATGCATCCATCTAAGCAATTCACATTAGCATTTATAATATTAGTAAGATTATCCTAAGCACGTATTAGGTTTGAATTTATACCGTGGCAAAACCACATCCTACCATTATATCAAAGAGAAGTAATAATGAAATATTCACAATCAAAATTAATTCACAAATACGCATAATGCGGACTCTATCCATATTTACCGGTTATTTCTAAATGACTCATCCATCAAGTGATCATTAAAGAAATTATATATGTAAATAAATATTAGATGAAGTCATCGCATTAGTTAATATCTTTATTTAGGACATAACAGGTAAAACAAAATAGACAAAACAATCTCGTGGTCAACTATTGATGAACATCAGAATTAATACTGGTAAATACCTTAAAGCTTTTAGATACGTACCGTTAGACAGTTAAGTGTCAAACAGACTGTACAAAGCTAATAACGAGACGTAAATCACAAAAATAAAACCATATGATGACACTGCATAGGTACAGTAAACTAAGTTTTGCAAAATTTTTTTTTATATCATAAGGTGGCAAACGAGCGAGCGGCTGCCTGAGATCGCTGAAATAGCGAAGTGACCGTTGCCCATAGACATACGTAATTTGCGTATGCGTTGCCTACCTTAAATCAACGTAGGAGATGATGCACAGAAAGAAAGTATTTCCATGCATCCTCTCATACGGAAAGAAAAAGGGTGGGAAGGGAAAGAGGACTGAAGGCCTCTGGGACGTACACTCATCAGACGAAACGCGGAATTGCTTCCACTTCACGCCTGTCTTCTGTGTGGTCGTGGTATTTCACCGGGCGAGCCGGGCCAATTCGTGCGAAGATGTTAAAGCTTGCTCTACCACTGTTAAAAATAGAGGTGTGCTACTGTTGCATAAGATTTTTTTAGTAATTAATCGTAATTCTTTTTGTGTTGTGTATCTATTAGTTTATCTGCATATTCACGAAGTCGTTATATTTGTCTACTGGCTGTAGTTTCGTCGAGAAAATAGAGTTTGCCAAGATTTTACAATCATGTTTCGAATTCTATGTAGCACGATATTAGACAATGCTTTGTTTCCTTGTTTCATATGTTTACACGGCGCAGCTGGCACTTCGTTAAACATTAATCCTTCAATACTTAGACAAAGATAACGTATCCGTTCCGACGTGTTAAGACACGAACGCGTCTGCTCTACACTTCGTGTCTGAGATAATAACGTGCCTTAGGTAATTCAGTCATTATTTTGTACTAACATTGCTCACAATCGGGTAAAGTATGACCTTACAGCGATTAGTTTTGCGCATTTTCCTTGATTGTACTGTTATATCAAATGTTTACCTTCGTTGAGCACTTCAGTATTGTTGTTTATGAAGGATTGGAAAGTGGAACGAAATTAGACAAAATCTTAACACCTTTTAATATGCGGTGCGTTTGCTTTAAAGTCCTATCTGTATTTCTAATTTAATAAATAAAAATAGAATCATTTATTTATTTGATTCTTTTCCGCATTAATCTGCACCTTAAAATAAAATTATTTTTACTCCATCAATTGCTTTCCATCTATTGTTACACGTTTTCCCTATACTTTACTGGACTGGTTATCTGTTTTTTTACTTAATAAAATTTATAATTTATTGTATAATCTTCGTCACAGAGAAGTCAATCGACACGGTGGTCTATTATAATGTAAATAGCCGTGCGTGCAACATAAAGGAGCGCTCGGACGCATTGTTTGTGGCGCCGGCGTTGTGCTCAATGTTGATTGTGTGACGCAGACATCCATAAACACATGTTATAATACATAACATGGTAATATAGTAATCTGTCAAGTGTTTTATATTCTTACTTATACTATGTTTCCACGAGGGCAGAACATAGAGGCAGAGTAATAGATAGTGCAGTTTAGAAAGTAAGTGTGATCAAACAATATCGGTACCGTTCTGTCCCTACTTCTCTGATTCTCTGTGCTACCCTCATGTGAAACTAGCGTATATCTCGAATCTTATTAATATAACAAATGCGAATGTTTAAAAGAAAGGATGGATGGATGTTTGTTTGAAGGTATCTCTAGAACGGCTTACCGGATTTTTAGGAATTTCGGCATACATATAGAACATAGTCTGGAAGAACACATAGGCTACTAATTAAGTATATTTTCCCTCCCCGTTAACGGTGTCGCGGGCGACAAAGTATGACATATTGTGAGATAAACACTAGAAATACTTAAGATGTGAAAGCAAATATTTTCTGAGTTATATTTATGTGTAAACATATTAGGCAAATATATAGTCTCAATCAATTCTTCTTATATATCTACTCTAATTACTTGACTATACAGTTGACATTTATTTTAATCATTGTACATAAATCATGGCCCAAAAGTTCTTTTCATGTAAGCACATTGATCTTAAGTTTAAATACCAGTTGGTCAAGTAGTGAAAACCTGATATAACCGGAAAGTTAAAGTACAACTTAACCAGTATTCGACTGCTTCTTACAACAAAAAAAACAACTTAATATATCGAGGTAAATAATCTATATAGTTAAACCATAAATAATTATTTGCAGTTAACGATTGTAAGCTATAATAAAGTTTCTATTATTACATCAAAATATTTTAAAAGATTATTTAAGACTGGCATTTTTATATAGAGACATTAGAAATAGTTACCGTGAGTTTCTGAATTCAAAATATCTGTATTAAACATATCGTCATCCCTGTCATTATCTTTTACAAAACAGAGATAACAATATGTTTTAAACGGAAATATCGGTCTCGGAAACTTAAAGTAAATAATAAAACAATTGGAAATGATGTGTCCGATTGTAGTCTCTTAGTTTATTAAGATTAAGTAAAGCTTAAAAGAAGACTTGGTGATAAAATGCAATTATTACAAACGTACGTTGCATTGAATCATAAATTATAATTTTATAGTTAAACCTTAATTATATAGATTAGGTTTAACTACAATATATTCAAATAAAAATCATTATAACGGCTGTTGTTAACATAAATATGTAAATACGTATATTGACAGTTTAACAGTAAGTCATTAGTGTTTCTTCGAAATGATACGTTGTCAGTTCGAAAATTAGTAAAAGATAATTGTAAAGAAAATATGAAGCGTCCGTGTTAACTAATTAAAACGTGCAAAAATAATATTACATACAAACAAACATAACAAACATGCAAGTATTACTGTTAGATAAATTTTGGTATTATATTTAGTAATAATATTTAAGTTTAAGACTCAAATGCTATAAAATTCATTTAAATTCATACAGGGATAAAATAGTAAAAACCCAATATCAACACTAACACATCCCGGATATGTAATTAGATAACTTCAAATACAAATAACATTAGTATGGAATAAGAGCAAAAATATTATTCAAACTAAAAATTGCATAGCTCTATAAAAACTGTGTTTTAATAACACAATATTAAATCTTTTAAGGTTCCGTACTGTTAGGAAGAAAATCCGAAATTGTGCCGGTGTACTGACACAACACTAGCCTTACTAAAATGTCAACGTTTATGTCCCCTCACTAATGATTCTGATACTTGACTTTGTAATAAAAGCGCACCATTCGCGCCAAAGGGTTCTAACTAATAATGTCTAAGAGTACCTCGAAAGGAAAAAACGGAACCCTTATAGGACCAATTTGTTATTTTAAATACTATCACTACTTCAAGCATTCAACGTTGTACGATTAGTAGTTAACGTTCGTCATAGACGGACCGCAGTTTTCAGTCGCCGCTAAAATATGTCGCCAATATTATCATGATCGCTTAAAGCTGTCCATATAGACAGTCCGTGTATGTACTTTACTAGTCTTCGGGTTAGATTCAAATTTATGAGGTAATTAATTAATTTTATACCTTTATTTTAAACATGATTGAAAGAAAAAAACATAAGGCAATCTACTCGTACTTTGAACAAAATTATGGAATATTATTATTGGTAAAAAAATGTATTGCGTTGGAAAAATTTGCGTCATTTGCACAATGGAAATATAAACAAGGTCGAGACATTAACAATATCCCTACATTCCAATTTATATGTTCTTAATAGGTACGTTTTAATAAAAGAGAAAAACAAAGAAAATTGTTCTAGAAGCCTTATCCGTGAGAGTTACAATTTAAAAACAATTCCCTCTAATACGAATTTGTTTATAAATTCTTGTTAAATTCAAGCTAAATAGGAATTCACAATTCACACAGCATGCTTGTTTATTTATTTGCGACACAAAATCATAAAAAAAAAAAATTATTAGTAATATTAAATCACAAACAAACAACATACCCATCGTGCACTTTTAGTAGACTTTTCCGGAGCTAGCAGGGATTCCTCTGAACGTACCTGAAAAAAAAAATACATTTATAATTTTCTCTGGGTTTCTATAATGTTAGTGGGATTAGATAAATCTTAAAAAATATATCAAACGCGGTTATAAAATCAATCCATCCTACCATCTAAATTTTCGCATTCATAATGTTAGGAAGTAAGATAAAATTAATATTAAACTGTTCCTTATCTTAATTTAGACTATGTAAAATTTATTTAGTCTTCCAAAATGATTTACAAATCAACAAGAAATGTCTAAATTTCAGTATAATAAATTAAAGGATCGTGTTATACGTTCCTAACTGCAAGACAATAATTTATCCCAAGGTATCAATGACTCACGGTAATGTTTATGAATGAATGAGTCACAGGTCGTTGACCTTTGATACTATGTAGACTAGGTTTTGTTTTTGTAAATAAAAAAGCGATAGAACGATTAAACGTAAACATTTGTTTAGATAATATGAATTAGAAATTTAAAAAAAGAACTCGGCCATATTTGTGTCGTATTATTTTGTCTTGTTAGAAATAAAATAAAGGTTAAAAATTTATATTATTATGATTTATTTGGTAGTTTTTACAAAAAGATACGATTACAGAAACATGAATGTTTACTTAAACTCATCGTTTATGTGAATAATCCACGTTTTGTTTGAAGAAAAAACCCTACATTGGACGGACCATATTGGGTACGCGGTTCGGGCGTGGGTTGCCACAAGACCTTATCCTCATGATTAAACTTTTAAACACGACCATCTTGCTATTTTGTTCTCGGAAATGCATTCATATTTATTCATAAAAGCCGTTTTTATTATTCCGATATTACTTAGGTATACGTTTAATTTATTCTTATGACACATAATTTGTTTTAATACATGAGTTTTTTTTAATCTATAGATACCTGTACATTTAAATTATATAGACAGCTGTTTTCTCTTAACTTTTACATCTTTTGATCTTACTGGCCAGTAGCATTTTTTGCTTTTCCGAAAATAGTACACATTTGAATTGAGAACCATCTTGTTTTGAAGTCGGTTAGAAAACTATTTTGCTAACGATCTATATTCGTTTTTTATCACTTTGATAATAATCTTGTAGGGACTTATTTTGGTATATTTATATATTTCTATAAATAAATCGTTAATGATGATAAGATATCTGAAATTTGGAAAATTACTAGCTCCATGGAGAATGGCTAATATAAAATTTCACCGTTGTGTTCTATGAACCTACAGTTGCCTCACGATCAATTCTATGCTTTTTATGTACATAACAATTTATAATACAAGACGATAATAAAAATTTAAGCTAGTATTAAAGTATAAAAAAATGCATTGCAGAAAAAATTTCTATCGTTTATAAAGTTAATTGACCCTAAACTATCTAACATTGTCTGCCAGAAATTTATAACATCAAATTTAAAAAGATAAATATCCAGCGTCAGTGAGTCTGCTGTTCATTGTACCGAGAAGTCTTGTGCGATTAATCAAAGCTAACGTGATTTGTAATTAGGAAGCGACACGACATTGTTAATTGAAGGGGCCGAGGATGCGGTCGTGTCGTCGCCGGCCCGACTCGCCGCCGGTCAATAATTTCGATTCAACGTATGAGAGCAATTTAATTCAGAGCTGGACGACGCGTGGGCTCGCTGCAACGCTCATAAGTGCGTTATAAAACTCGTTAAGTGTCGGGACAGTAGGCGGCCGGAAGCCGGCGTGTGGACTTCCTACTTAAAGTGCCCGTCTGTTGGACGGAAACGCTATTTTTGGCGCCCACCGTCGCTTCCTCCGAGGAAAGTCATTCATGAATACAATCGCTGATGGATTCCAGCCGCATCGCTACAATGTACCGCCCTACATACCATCAAGAGATTCGTTTCCGTGTCTGATGATATCTATGCAATTTTGTCATATCCTATAGAATACAGTATTCGATACTCAGAAGTAAAACCAATTGGAATAGCTTGTCTCCCCAATCTTTAATGTTGGAAAAACTAGCAATAAATTACAAATTTTCCATAAAAAATATGCTAGTTTTGTCGTGATATTGTTAAGATCCATTTTAGTGAACATTTTATATTTTACGTTTCGTTTGGTAAAGAAAAAATTAAATGTAATTAAAGAAACGGGATACATTATCAATTCTTTTAAAAGCAACAGATGTTTTATGAAATTAATTAACGCTGAACAACACGTGCGACTGCCGAAAAAAGAAGTCGACGAAAAACGAGTCCCGAAGAATGTGATATAAAAATAAGCGGTCGTAAAATTGTGCGCGACAGGAAGATAGGCTGGACATTCCTTACCGCATTCTTTCCTCCCCCGAGGGTCCCGGTATTTCCATTGTATCCATTGAAGCGCGCCCGGAATGCACTCGTGCGGTTTGAGACTAAAGTCCAGTTACGTAAAAGGTCCTCTGACCAGAAACATCTGTCATTTTTTGATGATGCGTCAAGGTGTTGTACGATGCTAATGTAAACAAGTTTCGCATAGCGAGCACATGAACAATTTTGATGTTGCACTTGAGAAATTTTGTCGCACGAAAAAAAACTATTGAAATTAACTAAAACTGAAACACGACTAATGACGTATGTCATTCTATACTAGACGAAAACTTTGCTTTTTACCTCTTTGCGGCAAAACATAGAAAAAAAAATAGACGACTATGTGATGAGATCAGTGGATCTCTGTAAATGGAAAGGTAATTACTTGAAAGTGACAGCTTTGTTCTGTATTAATGGTTCGAAAAATGGCAAAAATCAAATAGGCACAAAATACCACAGTTTACAGCCTGTCCATGTATGGTATTATAGGTCAGTTTTCATGGTTTTATTAAAAAATAAAATGTTTTATTATAAACGAATATTTAAGTTTATGAACTAGTTCGAGGCTATTACCCAAACATTTTTTATGTATGTCCATCTGTCTAAATTAACCTCAATGCCGCAAAGTGGCGCCGGCGCAGATTGATTATCGCATTACAATCTCTCTGTCACCGGCAACTCGTGAACGACGACCGTTTGAAATATGCCCAAGCAAATAATAAAGACTCGAAAATTGCATATCGAATGTATTCATTCACAAAAAGATGCCTTATAATTAGGAAATTAATACAAGTGACATTTCATAATTAGTTGCACTGTCCTCAGTGCATGACAGTGCAATTTTTTTGATGCACAGAAAATTACAACTATCGAAGGGTCACTTACACAAAGTGCCGAAATATAACACGTGAATATGTAAATGAATTCGATCGATATGCATTTGTCCCCATTTGCCGAGGCAAATTATAAAAGGACGGTTTACACGATTTACCAGTGACATCTCCAATGCAACAGCTCGGGCCTCATTGTGGACTTATGAATGGGACTCGGACGAATAAATCTACTGTACCGTAACAGTCTAGAGCACTAAGAATTGTTACTAAATTAGGTTAATGTCAAATATTAAAACATACACAATTTCTGTGTTGTAATAAAAATACTGTAGTGTCCATGATTCAGAGGTCGGGTAAACGGATTTCTATTTGGAACGGACCTGACATACTTCGATTATATACATTATGTATGTTCTTACGGATCTGACAGTGATACGATTTTGCAAGTATAAGTATATTAGTAAGTATTATATTAGTAAGTATAAGTTTAAGATTGAATAGTATTATTAGAATCGAAACAGCGTCGGAGGCTCAGAAGTTAAGCACTTGACTTGGAATCTGCAGGACCTCGGTTCGAATCCCGCCATATACCAATGTGTTTTTTTTCTATTTCCGATATAAATATGTACATTTATCCGACGTTCACACAATGAAGGAAAACATCGTGATGCAACCTGCGCATATCTACGAAGAAATTCCAACCATATGCGTAAAGTCCACCAATCCGTACTGGGCCAACGTGGTTGACTATGGCCTAGTCACTCGTAACTTAGGGTAGGCTCCGAGCCTCTCAGTGGGAACATATAGTGGGACTGATGACTATTGTAATTATTGTTACTGCATTACATTGATTAAAAGTTAATTGTCCTATGTACAAAATATGTACAATAAAAGTATAATACATAGCTAACGTATTTGGTGTAATTTCTCTACCATTTATTACCAATGCAGTATATCCTTTTCCACACATTTTCTGTTGTTCATATTTATATTTTCTTTATACCCCAGAGATATAAAAACTTTCGTATTTATAATATTAGTATAATAAGATATAATGTTCATATGTATAAAGATATATCTTATTATCAGAAATAATTTTATCTTTTGGATATTGTTCTTCATTGTCAAAGATACAGATGACATGAAGATATGTTTTATAGAAAGTATGCTATTTGTTGTGCAATGTTACAATTGAACCTTTACAATATGTAAATATTCCTGGATATGTCATGAAGACGTGAAAAATATAAATATATAGTAATCAGCCAATTATAAAAACAGAATTTTTTGGGCAGATATGATTATTTCATTTTAAATTATATAATACTAGATGTAGCCCGCTACTTATCCGCGCGGTATAGAAAAAAATTAATTAGCCAATGTATTCTTCTAGACTACGTTCTACATCTATTAAATATCAGCGAAATCCATGTAGTTGTTCTGTTGATCTTCCACTAAACATCCATCTGTACATCCAAACATTCGCATTTATATTAGTAAGATATAGACATGGGAATTTATGGTCTAAAAGGGTTTCTGGCCATCTCGAAAGTACTTGAATACTTCTGATTTAAATAAAATACATTTAGTTTTATATTTACCCTATTATATTTACCTTTATAATTTACCCGTATTATATTTAACGTTAGGATTATAATTATCTCATGTAATTCAGTGGTTCTCATAATTATTATGCATAACAACAGGTCAAGGTGACGGTGAATTGTTTCTGAACTTAATAATAATATTAATATAATTTATTTAAATAAAAACGCACAGTTAGGTATTTATTAAAATAAGACATATCTTAATTTTCAAAATAAAATTGTTTAGGTTATAGGTACAAAAATAATGGACATATTCACATCTAACTGACGCAAATATATTGTGTAATCGTGGGTTTCAGAGGCGTAAATCTCTGTTTAAAACATATTGTTATTTCTAATCTGTCATAGATTATGAGTGAATACATTTTTATACAGAGATTTTGGTCTCAGAACGGTCAGAAAGGCAAAAATAAGGATAATCTGAAGCAATATCTGCTATCTTCATTCAGCATCGCTATTTAAGACATGACCTATTTAGGATGTAAACGTAAGTAATTTGCGCCGTAAACGGTGAAACTACATAATTTAATGAGCCTCCTTGCTGTATAGCGAATGCGAATTGCAAACTGCTCCCTTATCAGAGCGTGCGGCGCTATCAAAGGCATACTCAAAACCGTTCAAATAGATACTTTATAAACACATCAATAAAGTTCAATTTCAATTGTTTCCATGTCTGCCCAGATGTGGGACCGACTCTACCCTTTAACCTGAGTGTATTTTTTAAGGAATTTCGACTTTAACTTAATTGATACTAGGTTGATTTTACGTCAGCTGTTTTAAAATGCTTTTACATCTGTAGGTCACATATTGCACGGGAGACCTTGCGAATATAACAATTTATTAAAAGCTTACTCCGACTTCAATATTTAATATGGTCAGGTTAAATATTTGACTAGTAGACAATAATAATTTCTTAGTCCACAATGGAAGTTCATTTGACCCGTATGATAAATGGCTCTAAAACGTAAGTTTCATTCGGCTCTAATTTTTCTCTTTCTGAAATATATAATTTCTCAAGTACTGTATCATCTCGTAATACAATCAAGTGAACAATCGTTACTTAGTGACTAAAAATATGTAAAATTTCGCAGAACAAAACCAAGGCTACGAGGTGTGAACAGCACTGAAGTGGGTCGACGATGTGGGGCGATACTGAATCACAAAGTACACATATGCGCACAAGAGTTCATAGTTTATTTTGTGACATAAGGCTGTTTATCTCTGGATAGAAACTCTTGTATAAAAACAAATTGAAGAAACAATTTTCTTCACGACAGTAATTTAATCGTATTAGTTCTTTTAACAAAACCTTTATATCGATTTGTTTTATAGCGTTTTATTTTTTTTATGTTTCGAGTAGTTAATCTGTAATGACGCTTTTGTTAGAAAATAATAAAATTGTACCAGTTTTTACATTTTTTTTACTTTTTGATTTTTTATGTTATTTAATTTTTAACGGCTTTCTAACTTTAAATGTCATGATATTCGAGTTATACAGATTATTTATATTAATCATATTTATTTAAACTTTTATGGTTAAGCAAAAAAATAACTCTCTCGTGATTTAGGAAAATCCAGTGTAACGTGCGTATATTTGTAATCAATTTAAAGGTACTGTGAACTGACAGACCGTTTAATATTTAACCGTACAAAGAAAATAATTAAATTATTTGTTTCAAGATTGAGACTAAAAATTATTTTCTTTCTTATTAAATGTCGAATTAAATAGATGTTGTTTTTTTTTGAGCTTAGGACTAAACAGTTTCGAGGAAGTTTGATTTTAAAAAACATATACAAACTGAAATTTCACCGTTTTTCATAGTATATTTTATTTTTAGTTTTCTAAACAAGACCTTATTCAAGTAGAATAGCAAGAAGTAATAAATTTAATTTTATCTAGTCCATTCAACAACTAGACATATGTACCGATGTGGGTAATTATTTTAGTACCATATAAGGCACCTTATGCCGTTTTCGGATCCTGTCTCTATTCTTCATTCTAACATGCGATTTATTAACTTGCTCATGTTATTTATCTATTCTACATTCGAGGTTAGCTTTAATATAATATGTTTTACAGTCAAATACATAGAAATAGAAGATAATTGCGCTTTAATTGCTTTTCTTTATCTATAAAATATTAGAAACATAATGCGTAAAGTAATATTCAACATAATCTTTTCTTTTCATAGATTAACATTCAGAGGTAGTTAGGCATAGTTAAAAATTTGCCTTACCTTCTTTGGGAAGAAAATTTTCGGTTTTCCTGTATACGTGGTGTATGAAGCCATGTTATCGACTTTAGCAACAACCATAATTCGGCAAAGAACAATTTATCCGGTATGAATAATCACAAGTCAATACAAGCACTGTACAGACAGTATGTTCCCTTATTTATTCGAGAATTTTCGGCGATCACGTGTCGGCGTGTGTGCGAACTGACAGCAACGTTCAAGATTATAAAGCATAAGCCCTCAGCGCACACTGAGATCACAAGAAAAGTTTAATAATTCTTTTTCATTCGATTTTCGTCGCAATAAACTTTGAATCCACGGACGCGTCGCGCCCACGTCATCGAAGTTGCGCGGTTATTGTCCTGTACACTGTTAAATCTATTGCCTAACGTAATTCACGAAAACATAACATTACATTTGAATAATATTTATCACTCATACAGGTTTGTCGTCACATTTTATTCACGACGCGAATGTTTTCGAGCAGCGACACACTTACTACTCGCATGTTCGATTCAAACTGAATTTTCGTCCGGTTCAGCGGTTGCTTTTATCAAATCAGACAGTCTCCCCCCGCGGCGTTCTCTCGCTCGCTCTTTAGAGTTAACGGCTTAGTGAGAATGAGATAGTATTATGCACGTATTTAACTTGATATTAACGCCACCATATGTATGAAACGCGTTGCGCACATAGATGATAGTATTATGGTATCGTCTCGGTAGTAAAGCCTGTTGTAGAGCAGGTATTGGTATCATTAATAATTAAGTTGTTAGAAAAATACCTAACGTAGCAAATTTGAATATCTATAGTAGGTATAAGTCGCCATCAAAATCAATACTTCGCAAAAGTAATTTCAATACATTTCTTTGTCTCTACAATGTCTTTGTTTCATTTTGATCAGATGAAGTAATAAAAAAAATACAAAAAGTTTATAAAGGTTTTTGAAACGTTCCGCGCACCGCCCACTTGTTTCCGTTAGCTCTTTATGCGGATTGAGGATACGCCGTGGAGGCTGCAAATTGCTCGCAACTATACATCATTATGAGATGTACAAAACTTGATTCAAATTACAATAATTGATTACCTACAAAACATCACATTTGTACAATTTCAATTAACACGTTAGCCGCCAGAATGATTCGAAAAACGAATTTTTTTTTACGTTTTGTCCAAAACCATTTGAATAGGGCCTTGCGGGTCAGGCTGTATACAACAATTGGATTAAAAAGCCACAGCGAGGTGTTGAATGGAAGTATGGCTTGTCGGTCACATAGTGCGACACGGCCTGATTGAAACATTAGCTTGTTGGACATATAGTCCGACATGGCAGCTAACGTGTTAAGAATCATAATAACAATCAGGAATTTCAATATATCATAACATTTCATTTCCTTGTTTTTTTACAAACTATTTAATTATTGTATTTTTCGAATCAACTTAATTATTTTATAATATAAAACTCTATATAGGAACAGCACATTAAAGTGACGAAAACTGTTTAAGTTACCCCAAAATGAATATAAAATACGTGCTAGACGTGAAGTTGCAGAAACTATAGCCCCCAACTACCACCCCGAAAGGAATTTTAAAGTTTTTCAGGCGATATTTTTTATTATTTTTAAAATACGTAATTTGGAAATTTAATTTATCGCGTCAAGAAAGTTTCTAGCTATTGTCAAATCAAAATTAATACGATGTACTTTGTAAAAAATGATTAAACAATATTACAAATTATACAATTTTATTAGTATTACATTCTTTGTAGGTTATAAAAACAATAAACGCAAAGGAACCCTGCCTTATTTGGTAGACAGCATCATAATAATAATAAATATCTCTGTGCATTAGTTTCGTTTTGAGACGCAATTCCTTTGTCCTCGGATGCAGACGACTTTGAAAAAGGCAAAGTCAAGTTTACTTTGTCCGTTCCATTCATAAGTTGCATTTCTTCAATTTTTAATACTATAAAGTAAGATTCATATCCGATGAGAAAACTTAAACGATTAAAAATAACAGAAACAAGGCAGAGCTGAGTTTTATTAAATTTCTTTTTGTTTACCTTTTGACTTATGATACCATACGGATAGTATTGATTTGACCATTGCTTCGTTTAAAAAATTTTAAGGTTATAAGAGAAAGGTTTTAAAGAAAGAGGTTTAAGGTATAAGTAAACGATATAAATAAGACGAGGATTACGACTAACTTTTAAATTGCCTCTCATCAACTTGAATCATGATGGAATGAAAATATCGGAAAATAAATGCTAAAATTGGCAACATTTAGCTCCAATGATGATTAAAAAAAATAATGAATATATTTATATTATGATTAAGAGCATCTAAGAGACAGTGAGTGGTGGAAATAGAAAGCTGTGACACATGTCCCTGGCGGCGTCGTGTCGCATCGCCGACGTCGGAGCGTCGTTGCATCGTCGGCGCCGGCCTCTAGGGGACTCATCGTATTTTAAGTCTAAACTTTGACTCAACCCTCCCATTTATATTAGCTATGTTTCTTAATCACTAAGACAGTATAGATTAAAAATATAAGGAAATACAATGAATATTGTATGAACGCACAAAAATATGACTGGCCACAATTAAAAATAAAAAGAAAAGTACTGCCCTTTATAATGTGAGTTTATGAAAAAATATTTTAACGTAGTTATTATTATACTGTGGTAAAAGAGCGTTATTACGTTGTGAAAAACGAAATCTATATAAAAACCAAGTGTTATTTACTCTATAAGGACGAAACTTAAAAAGTTTTCTAAGTTTTATATTTATGGGAACACAGTCGTCGGAAAAACATATCAATCGTTGATAAGGAAATAGGTTTGTTACAATGTTTACAATTATTTAGAAAACATTAAGTTACAAGGATTAAATAAATGTGTAGATATTGTGCTTCATAATAATAATTATATTAGACAACTTTCAAGCTTCAATTCATACGTTTGTTTGACTATAGATCTTATTTGCAATGTGAATATGCAACGTAGGGTTAAAGTAATTGCGTATTAGTTTAGTGAAATATAAATACCTCTGTACAATATCTGACACTAAAAGTCTTTCCATTGATGCAACATGTCACAGTTTTCCTTTGCATCAATTTCATGTTTCACTTCTGCATAAATCTTAACAAACTTTATTCCCACTGTACACGTGTACGATTTAAAGCGACAATATCGTTTGATAGTTGACTTTGTTCTGTCGCTAAGTAAGAAAATAATCCGTGTTAACATTACAGTCGAATCAGCGAAAACCTTTGTGGCGACCGACATTTTGTTATTTCATAAGTTAGCAATGTTATTTTCTTATGTTTAGCAAATAAATATATCTTAATTATGTAATTTTATGTAGTGCAGGTTGTACATGTGCATACAAATGGCTTTTAATAATAATATTTATCTTAAACCAAACCTAATCCAGTAAGCTCATAGAAATTCATATGATAGGTTAGCTATAGACGTAACATTTTGTTTTCAACGACTTGATTATGACCTACTTATGTACAAATAGATCCTTTAGTATACGTTGTTTAAAGCCAATATATTTACGTATTTTCTTGCGAATATAAGGCAGAAAAATAATAATAAAAGCCTTTGTGTTATGGTAACCATAGTATCCATTTGGAGTTGGGTCAATGACCTACAGCATCAAATGCGACACCCTTGTGTAAACTTTCCGACGCCAACCGCGAAATGCAATCGTTGCACTTTTTACAATGCAAGCATATCGCACGTAGACCAATATGACGTAAATGAACTATACATCATTGTAAAACAATGTCTATTATTTCAAAGAGATTTTATTTCCAATGAAATAAAATATGTTTGATAAGATTTTACCGTACCTTTATGAAAACGTAAGAAAGGTTTATTAAAACTTTTCTTTATATTAACACAATAAAATACAGACTTTATTTGCATGTAAAGCTACGCATTTTTAGGAGAAACTTATAAAATTCGAAACATATGATGACAATTGTCATAGTGCTAGATAATTTATTGATCTTTTAGTTTTTCAGTAACATAAATCTATAATAACCTCACACATGTGACTTAAATAATAAAGAATAACACAGCCATCGAAAAGTTATGTTTTTAAAATCACGTTCATTATACAATAACACAATATTTATACCTAAATACTAATTTGAAAACTGCGTCGCATTGAATCCGAATACAAATTGTATAGTCAACAGTAAAGAAACATAAACGCGTGGGAAGCAAGTTGAAATGATCAGACGTGAGGGGAAATTAAATTATGCCCGATATGGTTTGATAAAATAAGTAAAAAATTAAAATAATAAAAGGTTTAGGTGTGTATGTTTTTCATTCAACTTTATTTAGGACTATCTTTAACACATATTTTTTTATGATTTTAAATGCTGAATTTTTTAACAAAACACACAATACAATATGTTATAAACGATAACTTTGGTCTCAGAAATCCACGGTGAATAATCAAAATTATGACAGGTAACGTTTTTATATATTTAGGGTACAAATTTTAACCTGCGTCGTCACAATATATTCACAAAGTTCCATCAAACTATTTCGAGAGGTTTAGGACATAGACACAGACATAGGTGACAAGTTTATTTTTTCATAAAGATTAGTTTTTTTTTATATCAAAAGGTGGCAAACGAGCGAGCGGCCACCTGAAATCGCTGAAATAGCGAAGTGACCGTTACCCATAGACATACGCAATTGCATATGCGTTGCCTACCTTAAATCAACGGAGGAGAGAATGGACAGAAAGAAAACATTTCCATGCATCCTCTCGTCCGGAAAGTCCACTTCCACTTCGCATACTTTCCTTATAAGAAAAAGGGTGGGAAGGGAAAGAGGACTAAATTAGGTCTCCGGGACACACACTCATCAGACGAAACGCGGAATAGCTTCCACTTCACGCCTGTCTTCTGTGTGGTCGTGGTATTTCACCGGGCGAGCCGGGCCAATTCATGCGAAGATGTTAAAGCGGGCTCTACCAATGTTAAAACCACCACTGTTTGTTTATTTTATCATAATAAAAATAATTATTAGTGCATGCTTATAGATAGTGAAACCATGAAATAATATTTTATCAGAAACAATTAAAAGCACCGTCAGTGATAATAAATTCTCGATAAAATCATTTCCATTGAACAAATATTTACGTTATCAGTAAAGTATAATAATATACGAAGAATAATTAACTTTAGACAAAATATAGAAACAAAAAACAATCATTTTACAAATCCGTATCCGTAAGATCAAAGCTATATTTTGATAGAAAAATAATAATATTGTTTTTTCACTGCTCAATTGTTTTTTTTTGTAAGTTAAAAAATACCATCAGTCCTAGTCGCTTTGTAGAACACCCTTCTATTTTTAAACAATCGTTTATTTAATCTTTGGATGTCACGTTTCGTTTACAAGTATGTAGTTACAACTACGTTATATGAAACTCCTTAATAATAAATTCGTACAAGCACAAGTCCTAATTTATCAGTTAAGAACGTG